TGGTGATCAAGAAAAAGAAGAAGAAAAGAAAGAAGATGGAAGCAAGGACAGAATGAGAGTGCCATCTATCACTCTCTGGCAGAATATGACTCTTAACAGTGTGTTTCATAGTCAGAGGAAAAGCAGTCGTGGATCACTGTGTTTTATAACCTGAAAAAGACTGGGGCCTGCCCTTACTGTGTGGGACATTTATTTTATGATAAGAGCTCTCTTGTGAATGTTTTGACATTGAAGGAACCTGCATTCCAGTCAAGTTTTGAGTAGTATATCACAACGTCCAGAGATGACTGTCCTGAGCTCCGTCTTTTCATCCTGTGATGGAAGTCCCATGACCCAGAACAGCCTGTACAGAGCAGCTGAGTATCGGGCTTGCTGGGTATTTTTTTTTTTTCTTTAAAATAAGTTTTGAATGTACAACAGGTAAAATGATCCAGGAGTTCATCTTGTTTCCTTGCAAATATCCGTGACAATTTGGAAAAAGGAAGGAGACACCAGCAAAAAAGAAGTAGGATTTTAAAACAAGCAATTTTTTAAAATCACAATGAAAACATATGCTGTTGAACTGTAACACAGAAAAAAGGTTTGGCTTGCTGGGTATTTGACAGCCCTACCTGTCCAGGCATTCCTAAGCTGCTGGACGGGTGGTTTATGGGGTCCCTCAGCATACATGACTGGCTGGCTGCCTTAGGTTCATCTTGGTGAATCACAGATTGTGAAGGCTTGAATAGGAGTGTTTGTCAGATAAACTGATCCCTAAGCTTACAACTGTGGAAAAGTTCTGGGAACTCAGTTTCTCTCCCTCTCATAAGATCTAGTGTTCTAGTTCTGCTGTCATTTTAGAGTTGGCTCTTCATCTCCCCATCACCACTCAGATTTAATTCACATGCTAGTAAACCTATGAAAGTCTGAGAAAAGTGTTGTCTCTTAGTCTCCTTCAACACAGAGGAGCAACCTTGCCCTCTCTTCCATTCTTCTTTGCCATTGATGATACAGCATGCATAACTGCTTATTAGCTCACAAGAAAGACCAATTTCAGTGGTGAATCAAGTGTCCTTAGGTTTGGAAGCTAATTTTTTCAGCAGCAATATTCCAGATGGTTTACATCACTTAAGGCAGGGATGGCCAACTTCAGTATTATTGAAGGCCTCACTAAACTGGCAACCAAAACTATATTTTGCCAAATTTCTTCAAGTTCTTAGGCTCTGTAATGTAGTTGGGACTGTCAAGAAAGAATATGTGTCATGGTTAATAGAGCACATATGCTCAGGCATGGCCAAGGTGTGGCATGCAAAATGCAAAGGGAGATACATTGTTAAAATGTGGATTAGCTCTGTGTCTTGCAACTGGAAAATCTTTTTTTCTCTTAGAAGTGAAACTAATGTTTTAGTACATAATAGTTAAAAATTGATAGGGTTGAGGCCAGATAAAATTGGTTTGGGGCAGCATCCCCCCCTCCCCTGGAGCTTCCAGTTATCCGTCCCTATTTTATAGAATTTTTCTGTCCACAGGAACAAATTCCATTCCTAGCTGTAGTCTCACAAATGCTGTCCAACTATAACTGCATTTCCTTGGGAACATTTTCAAGAGCTGCATAATCCCTGGGAAAGGCAGAAGATAGCTTGTTAAAACCTTGTACTGCCAATCAACAAAAAAGCATAGGGCATATTGCCTTCTATAGTGGCAGTGATGGATAGTTATGTCATTCTTAATCGTCTGCCAATCAGACACACTGGGAGAGGCCTTTGATTTCCCCTGACAGCTATTGGTGTCTCCCTAAGGAGCCCTGCTTTGCATTTAGTACAATAGGGGGCCTGGGAGGAAGCACACAGGAAAGAAAATCCCTTCTCCCCCGTTTTCCTCCCTGCCTCTTGCTCTTCTTGATCACCCAGTTTCTCCCATTTCCACTCTTCCGCAACCTCCCAATTGCCTGTTCCCACCCTGCTGGCCATTGTGCAGTTTTATTTCTGTAAGATCTGTACTTGTGCAAATGTAGCTGGGGGGGGGGGGAGAAATAACCCCAAAAGCTGAACTTTGTTATGAACGAGCAAAATACACAATGGTCTTGTTGACAGAATTTCCCCCCTCCTTTTGATTTACTGAAAATTAAATATATTTACAGGATAAAGCAGAACAGGCAACTCTGGTTTTTACAGAGGACTCCAGTGACTGTAAGAAACCTCTGGTAATTCAGGAGACCTCACTGTAATTAGAAACATTCTGGTCTGGAGACTGATTTTCACTTTTTGGCACTTGAAACAGGCAGAGACTACCATTTGCAGAGTATTGCTTTTGTTTTAATTTAATTTGCTCCCTTTTTCCTTTGTGCTTGTAGTGTTTGCTATTTTCCTTCTCTGGCTTTTTTCTTTCAGTGCTTTGGATGTGAAGAGGTTTTATTTTCATTTCAGTAGCAAAATAGTCTTGGCTTTTCTTGCAGTAGATATCATCACTGAGGTCAAGAGTTAGGCTGATGTGTTGTCCCTACCCAAAACAATTAGATTAATTGGAAATGTAGATTCTGTAGTTTGGAGGTGGCGTAATTCTGCTCTAAAACTCAGAAAGTTAGTGCTGCTTTTGATGAAAACCGTACACTAAGCTAAGCTTTTGGCTTTTCCCCTCCTTGCCTATATGGATGATACACCTTTCTAAGAAATTGGTTGGAGGGAGATGGAATTATGTACTGTGAAATTCTAAGTTTCTGTGATTAGGAATTCCTAATTCTGCATTTGTTACAAATTTAACATATGCATACTCCTCTTTAGGTTGTTGCTTTATTGGACTATTCTGCAGTATTTGAAAGGTATTTGTTGCCGATTGGAGGAGGCAGCTTGGGGTTTATACAACTCTGGGAGAGAATAGCTATGGAGGAATGCATGTTGTGTGAAGCCTCACCCAAACCTCCTGGTAGCTCAGTTAGTACTCCTGACTCAGAAGCACTTATAAGGGTATAACTTTACCTACTCTGACCCATTACTTCTTCTGGTGTTCTCGTAGCTTCCTCCTTAGTTGGTACTGCTTCAGTGTATCAGCTCAAATCACTGTGGGTTTGAGGCCTGACAAAAAGAAATAGCAGGAATAAAAACCCATGTCATTAGGCCTGTGACTGAAAATATCACGTCCTGGACATATGCTGTGTTCTGCCACAGCTCAGAGCAGTGATTTGTTTTGCAGTGCCTGCCCAAAGGAGAAGGCACATGGCTTGTCACCTGCATTAATGTGTGTGAAGGAGGACCTTCTTTTCCTGCCACTGTATGCCAGCCTTCCTCTTTTTCTGCAGCAGCCGCTGTTAGGCTGACTGCCTTCTCTTTGCCCTGTTGAAACAATGAAAACTGATCTCCGCTCTTTTCTTAGTCCTATCTTGAAGAGAGTTTTGCTGCAGAGCGAAGAATATTGCCCATGTTTTCTGTCTGTTTGCAAAGACTCGTGGCAGTGTGTGCTTCAGCTCTCTCCCTATACATATATTTGCATCTGGCTCAAGTCTCTTCCAGGGCTTGGGCTGTGGAATGGGCCACTGTATGCTGCAAGTGGAGGAAACAGAAGAAACATCTGCTCAGATGGGTGTTTGCTGGTCCTCCCTCCTCCATGGGAAGCATCATCAGGTGAGGCTTGGAGCTCCATGCACTTTACTCTTTAGGATCAACTATCCATTTGGTCACCGTGGTTACTGAGTGGAGGATGCCATCTGTGTTGAGATGAAAGTCTCTATAACACCATGAGTTGATGGTAGCAAGTGGCTGTGACTGTTGGTGGAGTCAGAGGTCTGGTAAAGTACCAGGTTGCTGGAGGAGACTTATGGGGGATGGGATGGGGAAGAAACACATGATGTGAATTTACCCACAGGAACTTTTCCACTAGAGACCTTCACTTTTTATCCCCCCCAAAGGATTAGTTAATACCCCTCCCAAAACCAAAACTGAAACTGGGTTAACAGTTAAGGCTGTTAAGGTTTACAGTTACAGGTTAACAGTTAAGGCTGTTACCTCCAGAAAAGAATAGCTATGTGAAAGGGATAGAACTTTCCACTGGAGAAATCTGCCTGTGAATGCACTGTGAGGCCTAATGAGCTACCAAAGGCAAGGTGGTGTTTGAGAAATGAGGAAAGAAGCTGTACGTGTTTGGTAAGTTTTGGGAAGATCAAAAGAGCAATCAATGAGGTTCCCTCCTTTTGGTTATGAAAGTGAATGATAGGCAAGATAAGTTTGGGGTGACAGAGAGGAAGCAATCCTAAACAGGTCTGCTTGGAAGTAAGTCCCATTTTTATTCAACGTGGCTCACCCCCAGAAAAGTATTCTTAGGACTGCTGCCACAGTGTGGCACTGGGACCTTAGAGGGCTGAGTTCAAATCCGCACACAACCATGAAACTCCGTAGGTATTCATTGATCAATCGTTATCTCCATCTATCTAGCATGTTTTCATCCCTCCCTCCCTCCAAGGAGCTCTGAGTAGTTAATAATTTTGTTTTCCTCATTTTATCTTCACAACAACACTGTAAGGTAGATTTGCCTGGAGGAAAGTGACTGGCCCAAGGTCACCAAGATCCTTGTTTGACACTCAGATCACCACACCAGACTGGCTCATTGTAGTTATGACAATAAAGTGGAATCATCTTGGGGACACTACCCTGCATTTCTTGAAAAGTATGGCTATGTACAGCTACTGATCTAGGTTGAGGATAGTTGTGGGGGGGGTTGATTGCTTTAGAGACAGAAGCTTTAGAAGACGTAGAAGTAAGTACTTCTGAACACAGAACTGATACAGCCATTCCTTGCTTTTGGACAATACATGGAAACACTGGTTTTGACTTTGGTTTCTCTAGTGAGGATTAGGCTTAGCATGCAATGGCAAAATATAGTGAGAGTGCAATATTAAGGACTAGAAATGGAACAGAAGACAAGAACAGAAAGCCCACTGTGCTATTAGTTGGGAAAGGACATTGTTTGGTGGGAAGCGGCAAACATATGCTCTGAGACATTAGTACTCTTACCTGCAGGACTAGAGGAGAGACGGTGGCTTGGCGGAAGGTGCTGGATGGCGGCCTCTTGGTTTTGTAAGTGGATGGTTGAGGCTTGTGCTGGCGGCGTGTGGATGCCAGTCTCTGCGTGGGTCTCAGAGTCTGATGTAAACACCTGGGGGAAATTCACAGAAAATTTGGGCTGTGCTAGACTTTGGAATTATTTTTGATCCTCCCACTATGGATCTCTGCAGGTTGGGTGTAGCATCCTCCCCACCCCATTTTATTCTCACAACAGTACCATAAGGTAAGTTAACCAGAGAGAAAGTAATTGGCCAAAGTCACCCAGTGAGTTCATGGCCAAATGGGGATTTGATCCTCCTGGGTCTCCCTGACCAAGGCCAATATTCTAACTGCTATACCACATTGGCTGTCTTACGTATGCTGTTTCAGAAAAAGTCCTGTCTAATACATTAGTTATCTGCTGAGAGGCAGACTGATGGGATTGGGAGCATCGTAATACTAAAAGATGCCTAGTAATGTATTAAATGTATACCCTGCTGTGGCTCTTAAACTGGCTTACACAACAACAATTCTCTATATAAAACACATTACCATCAACAAAGCATTCCAAATAAAATCAAGGAAAGGCTATTTATACAGCAAACAAATGCCTCCTGAAGACACTGGCTCTTAATTGTCTTCCTAGACATTTCTCAGAGCTAATCTAATTGGCTTCCATTAGAAAGAATTCCCCAGCAAGGGTGCCTCCACTGAAAAGATCCTGCTTCTTGTAACTTTCCCATCTTATTTCAATAGGTATAGCCAAGAGGACTAATTTGTGAAGCCCATTTGTGCTACTTCTCTTTTCACATTCATGGAATTTAACTGAAGTACTAGTTCTGTAGTATCAGAATGTCAGCTGAACAAATGGGAATGCATTAAGTGGAAACTCTGTGGGAGACCGTTCTTGGGCCAAGTTTAGAGAACCAACAGAATGAGGTGGTAGAGTAGAATGGACAGTACTGTTAATTGCAAGTGAGGGACTACATTTTTCTGAAGTTCTGCTACATGCATAATTCCTTGCAAATGCAGGACTAGCACAGCATGCTAGAACTGTTCTCCAGCATGTTTTTTTTAGAATGGAGTTTTCACATTGACTCCAAAACAAGATTTTCCAGCTGCAGTCTGAAAGGGAGTAGCCTATTCTACTACCTAGACCAGGCCTTGAGAACTAGTATGGTGTAGTAGTTAGAGTGCCTTCCTATGATGTGGGAAGCCCAGTTTCAAATCCCCACTCTGCCGTGGAAGTTTGCTGGGTGACCTTGGGCCAGTCCCACACTCTCGGCCTAACTTACCTCATAGGGTGGTTATTTTGAGGACAGAACAGAGGAGGGGAGAACAATGTCGTAAACTGCTTTGGGTCCCCATTGGGGAGAAATGCCAGGTATAAATATTTCAATAGATAAATAAGAAAATCCAGGTCTAGCGACCGTGTTAAGTACAAGTTGCCTTTCCAGCTTCCTCTTGATACTCTCCCATAGAAGAATCTACCCGTTTTTCTATTGACTAATCATTTTTGCTTAATTGATCTTCCACTGTTGAGCCATCAATTTGAATCAGCAGCTTCACCCATGATTAAGGGTTGCACCCAAGAGGCCCCTGTACACCTTGGCATGCAGAATGGGGGGGAGGGGTTTAGCCCATGCAGCTACATACTTCAAGTTACTTCTAAACTCTCCGCTTTTGTGGCCTTTCCACAAATCTTGTTACCTGTTTGGTTGGCGTCAAGCTGGTCAGTGCACTGAGATTGGCTGTGTCCGTTATCACCATGGTCTGTGGCAAAAGGCCGGTGTGGGTATACTGGGTCATCTCAGGCTTGTGGCTGTACAGAGCTAGACATAACAAGAAATTGTGAACTGCAGAGATTCTGAGAGGTGGGGAGAATTTCTGCTTTCCTTTGTCTTCATGATTACTTAATAATGGAGTAGGGCTGTCGATCAGAGGTACAGCATCTGCTTTGCATGCAGAAGGTTCCTAGGTTCAATCTCCAACATCTCCAGTTAAAAGAATCAAATAGCAGATGATGTGAAAAGACCTCAACCTGAGACCCTGGAGCACTGCTGCCAGTCAGACTAAATAATACTGACCCTGATAGACCAAATGGACTGACTCCGTATACAGCAGCTTCATGTGTTCAATTGGTTGTGTAGGCTTCCACCCTCTTTTCCCCCAAGCAGCTCAGGGCAGCAGTGTATATGGAAGTATAGTATTTTATCTTCATCGACAAGCAACATACCTCACCACTATGTTTTTTTGCTGCCAGCTTCTTCCAACATGATGGCATGTATTCAAATGTACACTGCCTTTGCATATGGAGGTTCCATTTTGCTGTCATGTTCTCTGTGAACATGTCTGATCCTTTTTCAATGCCACTTAATCTAGTGGCCACTGCCACCGCATCTTGTGGGTGGTGAATTCCACAAGTTCATCATGCGTTTTTGAAGACTAGCATGGAATTCTCACTCTCGCCTTACCGACTTGCAAACCTACCATGAGGAGTCTGGATCTGGGCCATGGTGGCCATGAATGGACTCTGGTTGAGATGGCTTTGGACTTGTTGCATAATAGGTTGCTGGTAAGATGGATGCAGCTGCTGGGAGAACTGGACGGGCTGAAGGGTGGTGAGGCTGCTCCCCATGTTGTTGATCACAGGGACACTCTGGCCTTGGGTGGAGGCCAGGCCTGGAAGGCAGAAAGCTCAGTAAGGATATTGTTTCTCCCCTAGCAACCCAGCTGTGTTGCAAGTTTATGCATTTCACCTTTATTAGCAATTCTGCAGTAAAGTGATAGGCCACTGGCCAGACTAAAGGATTTGGGTGCCTAAGGTGGAAACACCTACATGGCAACACCCGTTCCCCCCACAAACTTTTTAATATGGGGCACAATCCATCAGGACGTTCTCCACATTGAAATGAAGAAGTCTTACCGATTACCAATGTGGAGGTTCCTGTATTAGGGAATGCTGGTGCTAATGAAGACGTGTCTCCTGGTCCAATCGCCATCACTCCGGGAAGCGATGCCATTATGAGATTCTGGGTTTGCTGGCTCAATGCATGGGGGTTTTGCTCCAAGCTGTGCAAGGCCGTCAGGGTACTAACAGGAGGAAGAGAGCCCCCCGGAACAGAGATCTGTGCACAGACAAGAAAAAGGTGTGAAAACAACATAAGCAAAGCTAATGTTGGATCAGGCCAATGGCCCATCCAGTCCAACACTCTGTCACACAGTGGCCAAAAATACCAGGTGCCATCAGGAGGTCCATCAGTGGGGCCAGGACACTAGAAGCCCTCCCACTGTTGCCCCCCCAAGCACCAAGAATACAGAGCATCCCATGCACCAGACAGAGTTCCTATCTATACCTTGTGGCTATAGCCACTGATGGACTTCTGCTCCATATGTTTATCTAATTCCCTCTTGAAGCCGTCCATGCTTGTAGCCACCGCCACCTCCTGTGGCAGTGAATTCCATGTGTTAATTACTCTTTGGGTGAAGAAGTACTTCCTTTTATCTGTTCTAACCTGACTGCTCAGCAATTTCATTGAGTGCCCACGAGTTCTTGTATTGTGAGAAAGGGATAAAAGTACTTCTTTCTCTACCTGCTCTATCCCATGTATAATCGTATAAACCTTGATCATGTCACCCCTCAGCTGTTGTTTCTCCAAGCTAAAGAGCCCCAAGCTTTTTAACCTTTCTTCATAGGGAAAGTGTTCCAACCCTTTTATCATTCTAGTTGCCCTTTTCTGCACTTTTTCAAATATTATAGCATTGGGAAAAGTGCAGAAAAGGGCAACTAGAATGATAAAAGGGTTAAAACACTTTCCCTATGAAGAAAGGTTAAACGCTTGGGGCTCTTTAGCTTGGAGAAACGACAGCTGAGGGGTGACATGTGAAGCTTGCAAAGAGGATAAGCAAGTGCTGTTCTTGGACTAACACCAAGGTTTAAGAGTGATCGTATTTCTGTAGCATATCTGTTTCAGAATCCTTACAATAGCCCTGTAAAATAGATTGATGTGATGATGTGCCTTTATACAGATGGGGCCTGAGTTCATGGCTGAAGTAAGATTCCAGGAATATTGCTGACACTCTGACAAGCCAATGTATCAAATCTGAATTCAGAAAGTAATACACTGGGTGAGCTTTGGTAAACAACGGGCTCTCAACTTTAAGCCCTCATTTTGGAAATGAGAATATTAACTGCACCTAAAGGTGCTATTGTGATGGTGAAAAAAAGAAAAAAGGTAGCAAAATACTTTCTACGCCGAAAAGGGACTGTAGAAGTAGAAATTAAAATTACTTGCCAATGGAAAGCATCTTTTTTGTGACTGAAAGCAGTTATACATTTTCTTTTACATAATGCAAACTTCCCAGGGCCCCATTCCTCATCGCTAAGAAGCTATTGGGTCGGATCCAGAAAGGAACTTTCTTCCCTCACACTGCAGTGAAATGCTGCTCCTGGGGAATAAGGGACCCTGAGGAATTGAATGAGAGTGATCTGCAGGGGCAGTGGGGAAACAGTGGAAATTGCCACTGTAGTCTGGATCCAACTGTGTGTGTGTGTGTGTCTGTCGGTTCGGTGTCATCCAGGATTCACCATGACCAACTCACCAGCTTAGTATCTGAAACGGAGCCAGATCCAGCTGAACACAGACCAGGGGAAGAGGCTTGGTGCAGGATGGTTTGAGTGGTCACAATGGAATTGTTCCCCCCATGTTGGTTGCCATTAGATGAATCCGTCTCACTGACAGGCTGCTGATTGTACCTCATGCCCGAATCAGAAAAGGAGAGGCTTTGTTGCTGCAGGGGAGCTTGATCTAAAAACAAAAGATAAAGAAAAAGAGTTGGGGAGTATTTTCAACCATTTGTGTTTCTGTGGATGACATTGGATTCCTATCTCAGAGATCCCTAATGTGATCTTGGGGGCAGTTCAGGCCCATAGCAAGGATTTTGTGGGGCAAAAAAAAATTCTGATGGGACTGAAGTTCTTAGTGCAGGGGGAAAAGCCATTTAGCCAATAAGAACAGTTACCAGGATAGATCTCTAAATTGCAAGCTGTCAACCACTTTAGATGACAGTTCTCAGCTGCTGCAAGCTAATCACTTCTGCCAGCCTAAGCAACAATTCTGATAACAAGCCAGTAGGTGGGGGTGATGACTTCTATAGTCAAGAAAGCTAACACTTAGGCAGAAAAACTCTCTCAAAGGAGACCAGTTTCTTGACACAAAGAAGGGATCCTAGAGGTCACCTACTCCAACCCCCTTGCTTAGTGCAGGAATTAGTCAGCTACAGCACCCCACTCTGCTTAAAGGAGTGCACGCCTTTAAAAATGTTTTTAAATGATTGAAAAAAACATTTGCAGGAGAAATTTTTGTGGGGCTGTGCCTTTAAAAAAGGGGGCGGAGCCCAAAAGCCTCCCCCCCCATAGCTATGGGCCTGAGGCAGCAGTTGCTTTTCACTGGTGACTGGCCAAAAGCCAAGCCTTTTCAAAAGCAGCCCTGTTTGCACTGGTTTGGGGCCTCATATGTACATATGAAGCTGCCTTGTACTGAATCAGACCCTTAGTCTATCAAGGTCAGTGTTGTCTACTCAGACTGGCAGCAGTGCTCTAGAGTCTCAAGCAGAGGTCTTTCACATTACTTACTACCTGATCCTTTTAACTGGAGATGCCAATGACCGAACATGGGACCTTCTGCATGCCAAGCAGATACTCCACCACTGAGCCACCGCCCCCTCCCTGCAGCCAGTCTCAGAGTAAGGATGTGGAAATATCAGTGAATTTCCCCACCCAACTTTTGGCAGTGAGGGCAGTTTGCACTATAATGTTGAACTGCTAAGGTTCAGGGCTAAGTGAACAGGAAGTTACTCATCCAGCCAGCCCTAGAGCTCAGCAGTGTCATGTTATCATGCAGTTGGGGGCGGTCCTCATTGTGTATATTTCCTTTGATTAAAGGGAAGCAAACAAACCTGCCCAAGCCCACAAAGTCTGAGAAGCAGTGTGACTTCAGACTTGGACTAGAGAGCTCAAGGTTCAAATCTTCATTCAGCCATGAATCTCACAGGGTGAGCATGGGCCAGCTAAACCCTTCCAGCAGAGCTGCTGTGAGAGATGTGGGAACCATATATAACACTGTAGAGCTCCAAATGAGATAGAATCAACATTTCTTGGTACAGGTCTTTTTGTAACACAGCACTCTTTTTGGTTGATTATTTTCCCCTGCCACTTCCATCCACTGTATGTAAAAACAGCCTCAGGACCCCAGCACCAAAGAGTTCCAATTTTCTCCATGCTTGGTGCTCACCGTGGACCTTGTTTGGCGAGAGAGGTGCAGCTGGTTGGAGGGAGGATGAGCTGTGCGCAGTCAAGGTGGGAGCAGAGTTGGGCTGTGAGCCGCTATAGCTGTCCATGGCTAGCTTGTGCCGGAAAGCCTCCTCCTTCCGTCGGTTGGCAAACCAATTGTAAACTCTCACTTCAGTCACCAGGTTTGAGCCCAGCCCTTGGGCCTGGGAAGGGGAGACACCTCGCTGAATGCACTCTGCCCTGCCAAGAAAGGCCATAGATGTGTCATTTTAGCACTCTGTGAGGCAAAGCCATTTCCTCTGGAATAGCCTCAGTCAAGTCAAAGGAAATGTGATCACTGCTGAATTCCAAGAATTGGTAGGCCCGGCCTTCTCTTCAAGGTGATAGAGAGAACTTTTACATACGTTTATCACCTCACCTTCCTTTCCAAATCCTATAACTGGGGAATGCCAGGTGATCTCTTGAACACTCATTGGGGTCCTTGGTAGAAGATGGCAAAGAAGCTTCCCTGAAAGAGCTTCACTGCCACTTCCAATCTGGATGAGGCCTATGCTATTTCATACAGGATGATGTGACTGTCTATCCTGACTGAACTGAGATTAAGGGCCAAACTTCATGACAGTATCTTCATGGCCACCACAGGAGCACCACCACCACTGCCATTTTAAGTGATTTTAAAACGCCATAAGGGCCTAATCCTGATCAAGCCCACAGCATGGTGGGCGGAGGCATTTTGTCACTCCCCTCCCTGCACCTTATCAAGTGTCAAAAGCCCCCCCCCCACAACTGTTTTGGCACTTTGAAATGCAAGGGGAAGCAAGCACCACACTGTGGGCTTGATCTCCCTTGACACATTTTAATCACTTTAAAATGGCAGCAGTGTTTCTATGACAGCCACAAGGATGCCATCACATCTAGTTTGGCCCTCCGCCTCAGCAGTACAGTTTACCACATCCTCAGTTACAAGGTGACTTCTAGCATGAGTGCTTGCCATTGTGTTGATTGTTGCAAACATTAATCAGCAGCACATGGTATGACTATTTTAACTTTTCCATTGGATGTCTCTGCTCTCCCTGAAGCTCCAGAGGCATCTTATAAACCGTTGCTAATTTTTTATGAAAAAGGCAATATTTTAGAAGGAGAACCATGGACATAGATGGCTAGTAGTCCCCATTCTCTCAGGTGGAAGTGGAACTCTACAGTGGAAGGTACCAAAAAATCTTGTTCTCTCTCAGCACAATCTAAACATTCAGAATGCCACTGGCTAAAAATATCACATAAAATCATACTGGAATTCTTGAAATGGGTTCTGGAGATAGCAAGCTTCAAACTCAACAAGCATATGTTAATGCTTCTGAACAAATATGGCAATGTGAAAATGGAAATCTCCTTGTGACTAGTGTGTCATTTAGACTAGCCTTCTATGTGACCTAGAATCCTCTGTAATATGTAGAAAAATCAATGTGGAAATAAGTAGACAGTCTGCCAATTATTACAATATGTGTTCTGCTGGTCTTTTCTTCCACTGTCACTTCCCCCTCTTCTCATTATTCAGTTACACATTCCTGAACACCTCTTTTTTCTGAACAGGTTCTGAGCTAGGGAGAGCTTCATGGGAACTCAGCAACATGACAAGCTGCTCTCAGACTCTATGACAGCTGGTACCTCCACTGGATGAATTATAGGCTAATAATAAGTGGTTTGATCGCTATGCAGTTGGAGTTCTAGCTCTTAGTCTGGGCCTCAGTACCAATTTAGGCTTAGGCCTAAATGAGTGCAGCATTGTTGTACTGAGTAAGAAATTGGCCCACTTCACTCAAAACCAAGACTGTACTTTCTTAACATGCACTAAAAATACCGTGTAGACAGGGTTAGCCCAACAAACTTTAATGTGTAAAATCCACTTTGCATACCTTTCTCCACTAATTAGCACAGAATACTAACGTAGCAATAGGTTGTAGACTCCCTGTTGGGCAAGACCAAAGTTCCTTCTAGCCCAGCATCTTGTTTCTGCCAGGCAGATGCTAATGGGAAACCCATAAATAAGGCATGAAAACAATAGCTCTTGTTGCTTATCTCTGGTGTCTGCCATTCAGAGGTATAACACCTCTGAACATGGAGGTTCCATTCCACTATCATGGGTAATTGCTGTTTTTTCTCTTTGCCCTGTTGCATTGTCCCCCAATCACCTATTGCACTCCTCCACCAATGCTTCTCGTTCCTCTTTGCTAGGATTCTTCTGTCTCTCATAGGCTTGAAAGAGGATTTGTTGTGAAGCTGGGCCCCACTTGAAGCGATTCCTTCTCCCTTTCTTGGTCGGTAGGTCATCTCCCATGGAGTCTTCCACCATGATACCCTGGCCGGCATGTGTAAATTCTGGAACCGCAAAGGAAAAGGATGTTATTTAATGTATTTTCATCTCCTGGAAGCCATGTCTTCCGCAAAATCCATGTGGGAGAAAGTTAAACTATAATTTGATGTACATTGATTAGGTATTTTACATTGTATATTTCCTGAAATATTTTTCTCCTGCAAAGGAAACAAAAATTGGACAATCAGGAAGCAAAATGGGGCACATTCTCATCTTCTGGACCCACAGTTTGTTGTTTTTAATTAAAACTGAAGGCATGCTTCACTCTTGCATCTAGAATGCCAGAGTGGGGCTTTACAGCCTGTCTTCTGCTGTTTCTGTATATTATGCTGTTCATGGTGTATGCCGTCAGATTGGATGACTCCTGATCAGAGGACTGATGGAGAGATTTGGTAGGCAGCTTCATTTAAGAATGGGTACCTCTGCTCTGTCTTTGCCTCAGGAATAAGTGAGTGATCTTCAATGGAAGCAGATTGAAAGGAGGCAAAGCCAGAGTAGTGAATCATACAAAGATGCAGTGGGCAGCTTCCTTTGAAGATTCACAAGAGTGTTCACTTATTTGATTGCTCATAGCAGAGAAGCAGTACTCTCACAGCATGTTAGTATGCCCCTGTGCATAGTTCTGGTCTGGAACTGCTGGCTTAGAGCAAGTTTTGGGATACATGTTTTTCCCACACGGCTAAGGCTATCTGCTCTGCTCTTGAGCCCACAGTACAGAGAGGCGTATACCCAAATCCCTTGGGATGGGACAAACGATGTTGGGTCATAGCTGCTGTTTTGCTTGCTGCACTTGCTTGGGCAGCAAACAGCCTTGGGTTGGCATTGCTCTGTTATGTTTTGGGTGATAGAGCTGCTGTTTGCTGTACTTACGCTGGGCCACCTCTCGCTGCTTGCGGACGTACCAGGTGTAGAGGGCAGCTCTCTTCTGAGTCTTCATGGGAGTGCCCTTGTTGAGATGCTGTGAGAGGTGGGATTGATTCAAGCCCGTGGTGTCAACTACCTCTCGTTGGGGGATATTGTGCTGCTGTAGGTAGGACTTCACCATCTTAGCTACCCTCCAGGGATCCTCTCTGGAAAAAAAAGAGAATGCATCACATCAAAGAGGTGATTGTTTTCTATCAATCCTGAGAGGTGCAAAATACCAACCAACCAACCATTTTCTTGTACATAGTACAATAAAAGATAGGACCAGTAAAAGCTGACAATAAAAATGGTTAACTTCTTCATCTTTAGTGGTCCTGCCTGGTGGTAAAGATGTATTAGAGTCAAGTGTCTAAAACAGTAGAAGAAAAATTAAGGATAAAATTACAAACTGGCCCAAAATGTATTTTATTAGGCATGGTTTCCAGAAGCTACAAACCAGAAAGAAAGGAATTGGTGAGAAACTTGCTAGTTGCTGTTAGATTAACTGTGGTACAAAACTGGAAAAACAATAACGTTTCCTGATTCAAATGTTGGGATTCGTAAAGCTGATAACTGCAATTAAAAATTATGGCTGGGAAGAGAAAAGTTAAAATTTGGCAGCTATTTATTATTTACCGGAATAAAATTAAGCCAGATGAAAATGTGAGAGAATAAATCCTGAGATATTTAAAAACGGACTAGAAATTACATTGAATTGTTATAGTTATTTATAATATATTTTGTATCTGTACTTTAGTAAATATTCTTGTATTTTGTATTCTAGTTGACTAAAAATGCTTTTTAAAAAGTTTAGTTCCTTATAGTGTTCTACATGCTGCTTTTCTTTTAGGGGCCATTAGTGCCTCTTTAAGTGTCAAATCTCTCACTGCCAGATAGATCAGGTTTCACATCAGAGAAATCTCCCTATTGAGGTTGATTGTCAGGCTCAGAACTTGCTATTGGCTTAAGTCCTGAAATACCTTCATGTTTTCTTCTTGCTAACTGCCTGAAGGACTTGACCCTTTTGTTGTTATTTCTCAGTAGGTTTTTGAAATGTTGTCCAAGGCACAGTTTAGTCACAGATTTCTAGACACTGTGGGTTCTGACTGATGTGGTCTGGGTGGTCTCACACACTTGTCACTCAAGTAATTACTTGGGAAGGGAGTGGTGACCTTGTATCATGACAAAGCCAACCATATTGGGGCTGAGCAACTCTGTGCTTAAGTAATGAGTTGTTCCAACTGAGGAGACCAAGTAAAAATCACCAGTTTTAATGGGCTGACTAGAATTTCGTTGACATCTTGTGTCATTTGTTTCCTGCTGAGCTAATAGTTGCAATACCAACCTCTGTCCATTTCCAGTGATGGCACTAAAAAGCAGCAGAGAGTAGACGACAGCTCCCTTTTCTGCCAGTGTCCTTGATTCAAGTCCTATGGTACCTTACAAAGGCTGTCCCATAGCTTCCACAAACAGGGATTAGGCACATAGTTTCTGTGAATACTTAAATCCATATATTGGGGGCATGGATAGACAAGACACGTATTTCTATAAACCTGAGAAAAGTCCCTGGTTTGCAGATAAATCTGAACTTAAATAAATAAATAAATAGATTTTTAATACCGCCAAACTTATAAAAGGAGTGCCTGTAGCTTTAAGAAGTGGATGCCCTCAGTAGCCATTGCTAGGCAACCACAACATATTGCTAGCATTCCAGGAGGCAGGGCCCTTTTGGTGTTTGAGGGGGGACTCATCAGGACCAGGGCTAGCAGCCGCCCCCCCGGGTGACTTGATACTACACAGCTTGCATGACTCATCCAGGCCTTGCTGCTTGCTACTGTTCAACAGCACCCACCTCATGAAAGCTAGTAGGGGTTGATGGTTAGAGTTTCAGACTAGGATCTGAGAGACAAGAGTCACATCCCCACTCATGCCATGGAAGCTTACTGGTTGACTTTGGGTTAGTCACCCACTCTCAGCCTAACCTACACTGCAGGGTTGTTGTGAGGATAAAATGGAGGAGAGGAGAATGATGTAAGCTGCTTTGAATCCCCATTGTGGAGAAAGGTGGAATATAAATTAAGTAAATAAATCATAAATATAGCTGAAGGGGGGGGGGTCAGATAAAATATAGGTGAGGATGAGGAGCTGCCAGAAGGTGGGGAGTAGGAAATAAGTGTGTGGAGGGAATACAGTGGAAAGTGAGTTCTTGCAGGTTTCCCACCACACAACTGGGTTCAGCTCAGCCAGTACCACACAACTTGGACAGAGTTTTCCCAGGGAGAGGCTGCCAGGGGGAGGGAAAGCTGAAGACAAGGCAGGTAAAGGTAGGTTGATTGGTAAGTGAGAAGAAAACAGAGAAATGGGAGAGGCTATGGGGGCTGCCAGGGAAGGATAAGAGGAAATGCAGGGGAGGGGGAAATTAGATGCCCCCTTGCAGGTCTCCTGCTTGTAGCATTCTCAGCATTTAGACAAGGCATATGTGGCAAGAGCTTTGAACAATTGTAAGCCAAAGATTCAATGTGACACTTCCAACTACTTTTGATATCCGTAACTCTGTCCTTAAGGTTTACATTTTTCCCCCTCTTTAAAATTTATGGTGTGTGTGTGTGTGTGTGTGTGTTACAGAACATCTAGCTTCTAGATAACTTTAGCAGCATGCCTTTTTCCTGTGGAATGCCCAAGCAGCTGATGGGGCATTTGAGTTTCTTGCTCTAGCGCTCCCTATCTATTTCTTTTACTAATCCACCTATCTGTTTCATTTACTGGCTTAGCAAGTTTTGTTTTTTAATTAAAAGTAGTTTTCAGAACAGCAATAGCTACAAATTGATGGGCTTGAAAATGGGGGATGGAAGGAACTGAAGCAAAGTGTTATGCTGGGAAGCTTGGGCAACAACTCCAAAGTCTTCAAACATAGCCATTAATGAGGGCAAAGTCCACACCTGCTGGCTCTGCTCAAACACCTTTATCTCTCTTACTCATGCAGCCGGGTTTTTCCATAGCAGTTAACCAGCTCTACTGGGTTCCACTTTCCATTATCTTGTTGATTTCAAAAGGCCTTCCTGGATCTAACTGTAGACCTGAGGTGCTGTTCTTTCTTGTTCTTTTTAACCTACTGGAATATAATATCATAATGTATTCTTTTCTTGGGGTACATGTCACTCAAGGTCCCCATAGTAGTGTGTATATTCAAGAGAGGCTGGGCCCGGGCGGAGGAGAGGGGCGAGGGGCGCAGGCGGTGAGTAGCCTCCCCCTTTAAAAAAAAAAAAACCCGCTGGGGAGAGGCCAAAAAAAATCAAAGCACCCCCTCCCCCACCCCCATTATATCCCCCCTCCAGCCCCCACTTTCAGGTTCTTTTGCATTCCGTGACTCTTTTCCCTTCTCCCTCCTCCACGAGTCGAGTTCCCTTTTTGGGGAAGGCCCGTCGCCCGCTAGTGAAGCATCTGCTTTTTGCTTCGGATGCGGGAATGTATCGCGTTCAGTGTCCCCCCCCCCACAGTATCTCCAGTTTAAAAATAGGTTTGGACGGTCATGGGAAAGGGAAGCGGGGTCGGTATAAATGGGAAAGATCTGCACCTTGAGACCCTAGAGAGAAGTTGGCAGTTGGAGAAAACCACTCTGACCTTGATGGACTGATGGGGGGAGGCGGGGTCTGATTCAGTGTAAGGCAGCTTTGTGGGTGGGTGGGTGGGTGGGAAAGCCCTCCACCCAAGACCCTAGGGAGACATTGCCTGTTAGAGTAAACAGTCCTATTAATGATTATCCTGCAGCAGTGTGTGTGGTATAGCCAGGAGATCCTAAGATTGCTTGGTGCTTGGGCGGGGTCAACAGTGGGAGGGCTTCTAATGTCCTGGCCCCACTGGTGGACCTCCTGATGGCACCTGGTATTTCTAGCCACTGTGTGACACTGTGGACTGGATGGGCCTTTGGCCTGATCCAACATTGGCGTCTCTTAAGATGCTCTGTTTTGCACATCACATACAAGATCAAAAGGCAGGCCTTTCCCACCATCTCAATGCACATTTATGGGTGAGGGAGGCTTGTAACCCATCAACATCACATCTGGGCGGGGACTTAGGTTGGATGGACTAATGCAGAATACAAAGGTAGCACTAGCTCATTAGAGCCCCCATAACCTGGAACAGGCAAGATGTGCTGATTTGGGCTGCCTGGGAGGCTCTGTGCAAAGTGAAACTGGTGATCCTTGAATGGTCTTGGGGCCCAAGCAGATGCCTGACCTTGCCACACTCTGGAACCAGCTCCATACAGGTGTATAAGTGGCTACGCCCAGCCTTCTTTTTTTTGGAGGGGGGGCTATTCTGCAATGAGAGAAATTTCTAAGGTCAGGGATAAACGTTATAGTGTGAATTATGTCACCCTAAATGCTTGTCCTGCTGCACGTGCTGGCAATTTGTGTTTCAGTTGGCTTCTCAAGACTCTGAAAGGTCAACGCAGCAGCAATCACAAACACCCCAGCCAGGGTCTGGGAATAATGGAAGTACACCTAGTCTTGAGAGACAAGGAGGGGACAGAGCTGACTTTGGTAGACCCAACTGGGCAGGAACTGAGGGTCAAGGAGGTGGGGCCAGAAGGGGAGAATAAAATAACCTTGTTTCTCTAGGCAAATGATATAGGCCTCCTCTAATGAAGAGTACAGAGGGAGATGGGGACCTGGTGAAGTAAGCCAGATTGCATCCTTGTTCTTGGGTTGTAGAGGTAACGGAGCTGCATAGAGCCAGATCTATAAGGGATGTCATCACGCTGCACTGGAGAGTCACAATGGAGTCTATATAGTGGTACAGACTTTACAGTGTGGCTCCACTGAGACCTTCTGTGTAATAGTTTTAGGTTACCCAACCCAACCCTCCTGGCCCTTGAGAGTGGTCTCTGCATCAACCTGTCATCTTCTGGGCATGGAACAGTGGTCATTGTGGGTGTGGAGGGGGAGGTATTTGTGAATTTCCTGCCTTGTGCAGGGGGTTGGACTAGATGACCCTGGAGATCCCTTCCAACTCTGATTCTATTATTCTAACCTGATATAACTGCCTGGAAGCAAGGGTGGATGTAGGAAGGTGACCAGCTTGCAAATGTGCCCCCATATCTTAACGGACATCCCAGTCATCCTGGCATAGCCCATAACAAAGCTATTTGGGGTGGTAATATTAGGTA